CCGATGTTTACTGAAAATGTAGAGGAAAGCATATTAAATCAATTTTCATCTCCCATCCGTTTTAAATTTCTACATGGTATATTTAACCAAATTGTTCAGCATGTCAGTCCTGGTCCTTTTGTGAATTGCCTGTCACTATCACCCTAAAAGTAGTTATATGAAAGGATTTACTGTAACCAGGTGGAGGTGAAGTCCAACAAAAACAATTCCCTTAAACTATTTGTAATTGGACAACAACAACAACAACAAAAAAACATGTATTCACACCAGAATGAAAGCACATTTTCAGTTTTCCTTGATTAGGTTTGAATCATCATATTCAAATATGCTCTGGATGAAAAAAACCCCAAACAATTAACACACAAATTCACTAAATAAAACATGAAGACTGTAAACAAGTACAAGACTGCCATACGGTTATTCAGGAAGAGATCTCTGAGTCAACTTTCCACCGCTCCCCTTGGAGACAGCATGTGCAGTAAAGATTATCATGGTGGTAAGTACAGCAGAGTATCCCAGGCACTCACTGAGGTTTTAGCTCTATGTCCACATCAGAGTAGATGTGAGTCTTGCATCATTTTCTCTCACTTTGCAAGTGTAGTTTGAAATAATGCATTGCGTCATTTATATTCTCTTGATATGCGTTTACTAACAAGTACATAAATTACCTAAATGTAAACAAATTAAAAAAACAATTAAAATTGTTATAAAACTTTTACATCTCGTTGTCTGTCTGTCCGCCCATTGATCCATCATTTGAACACACAGGTTAGCCCAAAATTCCCTGGTATATTGTGATTTTTAAATATTACATTATATTGTATTATATTATATTATATTATATTATATTATATTATATTATATTATATTATATTATATCTCAAAATATATTAAAAGCATATCAACAGAGTATTAGTCTTGTTCTTTTTTTACATATTCTTTATGAAAAAGTTATTCTCCATCAGTTATCCAGTTTCCAGGTAACTTTTTGTCAGTAGTCCATAATGAACATTCAACCTTTTTGACTTAATTGTGGCACTTTTGGAAATCCATATTACCTAGAATTCAAAAATCAAATGTTTGTTTAAAGTTGAAGAGCTGGTAAGCCTTAATGATATGCTTGTTTTGCTTTGATTGCCAAGGACTGTGTCCAGATATGTCCTGATTTTAATAATAAGGCTCATTTTAGAAGTATGATAAAAGACCTCAGCCATTAAATCAATGAGCTTGACTAAAATAAGACATGTTTTGGCCTCAGGAGTTATTTAATATCCTGGTTGCCTACTTTGGTTTACATTTTACCTTTAAGCCTCTTATTTAGTTTTATGTGTTCTTTGATGTAAATTGTGCTACAATTTGGCAACAACAGGATATGACTAACCTGTATATAAAGAAGAGTTCATGCATAGCACATGATTTTAGAAGCTTTTATTGCTTGGAGAAAACTACAACTACAACTACAAAAACTGAAATAAAATTAAAGACCTAAATCCTGCAGGATTTCAAGAAAAATATGTTTTACAAAAGAACGCATGCGGTGAAGAAAAATTGGGAAAACAACAACTGTAAATCTATTTTATAGGGCTTGCAAAATAATGAAATATAATTCTGGTGTTTTTATCGAATTGGCCGAGAGGGTGTAAGCATTAAAATGTAATTTTAATGCCAAATGAAAAGAAAATATTTTAAAGACAAAGACTGTTTCAATCCACAGGTGCCAGGACTAATGTTAATGGGAAGTGACAGCTTCGTTCATAAATACTCCATTGTAGCTCAGAGAGCTCTGAACTCTTCCCCTCTGCGCACATATGAATAACTAGCAAGTATAACAACGTTTCTGCGCCACCCTCTGTGAGGACACATTCCTCGCTGTCCTCCTGCAGCCTTGTCATACCAAACAACATGTAAAAATGTGACCCATATGGTCTCCCTTTGGAGAAGCACTGATTGAGCTGTATAGAAGTCATAGCCCACCCACAGAAGGCAAATAAGGAGAACCATATGTGGTGAGATGAATTAGGTAAACTGCACAACATTTTTATTAGATACAATTTCACTTGCCATCTGAATGGACTGAAAGGTGAAACTTTGAAAATAAACTTAGGAAGATATCCCAGGTTAACACAGGAAAAGCCAATGAAACACTGAATTTACTAAATAAAATTAACAATAATTTATAGTTTTGTGTCTAAAAATATCACTTCAGTTAACACCATCTCTGTCATTTACATTGCTGAAACAGGGGACCGATGGTAGATTAGCCAAAAATCAATAATGAACTCTGATAAGATGGTTTACAGTCCATGTTTAATTTAATTTAACAATCCACTTAGGACTTGAAAGAGTAAGATAATTCCCTCTGCAAATGTTAGCTTTCTGAAAATTGGTTTACAAAAGAAAGGTCTACAAATAATTGAAGAACTTCCTAAATAAGGCAAAGAATGTGTCCAATGAAAAAAGGAAGATAAGAACAGCATAAAACTGTCAGAGGCTATATTTTCTATATTACTGTGTGCTTTCAAAGACTTCAGCTCCTCTGATTTGTATTTTTCCTGAATTTACTTCAATAAAAGTGGGTAAGACATTACTGTGTTCTGGTGTTTAAAAGAGGGGAAACAGAAAATGCATCATTCGTGACTGTAATCTCTGGTTCTCATATCGTGCAGAACATCTCAGTTGCCTTGGGCACAAATGCTATCCTTGTTGGTGGTCTGACAGGATTAGCCGCTGTTATGTCATCATTTTCGAATTGAATTAACTGAATAACGTCAATCCACTGCTGTTGGAGATGATTTAAATTAAATAAAAAATGACTTGAATCTTCCATCACTTGTGGCTTTTGACAGACAGCCAGGTCCAGAAGGGTCAGGGCTAAGGTTGACTGAATGAAGGCACATGTTTTTAGCAGCTGCTGACATGGATGTGCCTGTTTTCTTAATCATTCAATAAGACTAAACATATTTGTGAAAGAAAATGACTTATATCAGCACTTGGAAACTTGGTGTTTATCCAGTGCGTTCACACCCCCTGAACAACATCTATAAATTGAATCTATTTTAAAGGGGTTTTATTTTACAGTAATGCAAAAAGGAAAAAAGGATGCATATTTTTAAAAGATGCTTTTTAAAAATATGCATCTTAAGAGTTTTGTTCTAATTGTGGAATAATTAATGAAAAAATAAAGATTGAAGAAGAGGTTTATATAAAATAAAAATTCCAGGGACTGTACCTTTACTAGCATGTTGCATAGCTTCCCATTGACTAGATTAATGTAAAGGCACTTCAGATTCACTACAGCTTTTTCCTGAGTAGCAAAGTCACATTATTATTCTGCACTATAAAATTGCCTTGTTGATCTTTCTCTATGCGAGTAAAGTCATAAAGGTTGTGTACTTCTGTGGTAAACTAATAGAGTTTCATTCACAGGACTTCCTGTATTTCTGACACTAAAGACATGTAGCTGAATTGGAAAAAAAAATCCATGAATTAAAACAGTAGATGGGATTGTAAATGGTGAGTAGTAATCATGCAAGGCAAGAGGCCGCAGGAATGCATATCATGCCTCAAGCCAAAGGTTTAAGCTAGCAGGTGGCCGCTTCTATTCACCGAATGTCAACACTTCTTTTAGATGGAGCCTACATAACATCTGGGCATGTCAGCCACTGCTTTTAATTAAGTGAAATACAGTTACTCAATGTTCTGCCATGATGGAGAAAAAAAAAAAAGAAAACTAGGGTGAAGTGCGAAGGGAAAAAAAATTGACAGTACATATACTGTTCAGTGAAGGTCAGCACAGATGTGTAAATAAATATAAAACCTTCAGCTAATCTCTACATTTCCAGGATCATTGGAAGTCCCTAAGTAATCAGAATACTCCCGTAGAAGCAGCTCAATCCCCTGGGCCATTTTTCTGGAAGTTATGCTGATCCTGAATGAAAGGAAACCGCAATAACCACCATTCAGGGTAGTTTAAGCTTTAAACAGGCCAACAAATATAACATATACACTTTTCCAATATGTATTAAAGTGGCAGAGCACATTGAACTTTACAAAAATGCTTATTGAGTGATGATGAATGTCTTTTTGGCACAAGTGCACAGCTATTAAAATATGTCCTTTCATCCAACCCAAGTGATACTTTTCAGTCAGCCATAGGAGTCCATAACCCATTTAAATTCTGTTTTCACTGCAGAGATTCACAGCAAAGGTGAATCTGTGTTGTGGGAAGGAATTTTCTTATGCATGGACAAATGGCTAAGTTTTATAGCAAAATGGATGAGGCAAAATATAGGGCAATCTTGGAAAATCTCCTATAGGCTGTAAAAAACTTGAGATTTGGGTAAATATGAAGTGATTCGTTTAGATCCCATCAAATTCATTTTTTAGAGTCAATCTAGTTCTACAGTTGGGAATCTGTAACAAGACTTCCAAATTTTTGATGACCGACTGTCTGCATCAAATCTGAATGAATCTGGAAAGCTGGTAAAGAAATACCCCCAAAAGCTTGAAGTTTAAAAATGCAGCATGTAATATTTAATTCATGCCATACTTTAGATTTGTGTTTGTTTTAGACTGTGAAAACCATGAATCTTTTTCATTCCACATCAGCTTTTGACAACTTTGTGTTAGCCCATGACATGAAGTCCCAATAAAATCCTTTAAAAGTAAACAATGCGGTATAGCCACTGAGATTGCAATCTTTTTTCTATTTTTTTACTACTAAAACTACTCTGCAAGAACATGTCAGAGGTTTATATCATGCTTGTTAAACATTTATAAATCTGGGACGGTAGTCCAGCAACAGAATGCTCAACAGTGAGCGAGTTCCCAAAAGAATATGAGGCGTACAAGGTCAGTTTGAAAAGGTCTGGACAAATTACATCTGGTAGAGGAGTATACAGTGGAGAAGACTTTTCTTTCAAGGCTTCATTTGCAAATGTTCATCAAGTTTGGGGTGATAATGTGAGTAAAAAAAGCTGTGGAAACAATGAAAGAAAAAATGTTTCTAATGGAATATTTATTAAACATACAAAACATTCTATCGTTACCGATTCTTTCTAAACACAAAATAAAGTTAGTGTGGCACTAAGATGGTTGTTGCAATGAGGAAGTTCACAGAAAAATGACTGTTTAGATGTGGAGGATTACATGAGCAGAAACTGTTTAACAAAGATGGTAAAGCTCTCATATTTAAAATTTTAACTATGTACGTATTCGATTAAAAAAATATATATTAATGCGGCACTCTTGGTGAAATAAGTCAGAATTGAAATGACATTTTTAAAAACATTTTAATGACATTTGTAACACTATTCTGTATGTATTAATGATCCAAAACAACAATCTGTCACGGAATTTACCACAAAAGTGAATTTTTGCATTAAATATTTTACAGCACAATTTCACAACTTAAAAGAAAAGGCAAATATGTCACAATGACTCCAGTGAAGTGTTTGATCATGGAAGATATATATAATATATATATATATATATGCCAGAGGACACAGAAGATAAAAGATTATGCACATAAATTCAAATAATCATTTTGTACTAAACACTTAAATATTACAGTATTCAGTGCTATTATTTTAAAAGGAAATAAATTAACCAAGAAAACTTTATATACATAATACTGTACATCAAATCACACCTGCAGCAAATGTGCTTCAAAAATTAAACTGTGTCAAAACTAATGGCACCCACATGATCTGACAACCATATTTCTGTATTTTTTCAGAATAACATTAGAGCTGTCATCAAAGTACAGCACTGATATTGCATTGAGCTTGGTTGGGGCACAGCAGGGCTTTGGCACGTTGTCAGGAAACATTAAATGAACCTATAAAGAAGAAGTATAAATTTTTAATGGCAAGAATATTGTAAGGCTAAGCACATGTACAATGCATTTCAAACAGCACTTACCAGGGTTTGCACAATAGCATGATTTGTTGCATTCATTTGAGCATTAAGTGGAAAAGAGCATTCGCCGTCACAATAAAAAGCAGCATAGCCCTCCGGTGCAATGATCCAATCCTTGGCAAAAAATAAAAATAAAAATACAAGTTAGCTTTTCTAGTTTATAGCCTGGATATGCTTTTCCACATTCATATGATTTTAATGTGACCACCATGTGGTAACTCTGTCAATACTGTTTTACAAGAAATTTGAAATCTTTGTGTCTTACCTGCCATCCCAAATCTCGAAAGCTGACATAGAGCTCATGCTTTTTGCAGGCCTGCTTTTGTTCACTTGTGTGATAGTCTAAGGGAGAAAAGATAAAGACAGAAGTACAATTAATCAAGTAATGCACCATATACTAATCACGAAAGCTGTTTTGCATGTCAGACACAGGATAATAGTGTTTATCCTTGACGGTATAAACACTATTATCCAAATACAGCTTCAGGATCGCCTTTCTATATGCATTTTCCTGTAACGTGCATAATTTCAGCTCCTGCCATGTTGGATACATGTGACCTGAGCCTCACAGAAATACTACACTTGCAGTTAAAACCAGAAATTTACCCTCACTTTTAAAGGAGACATAACCCTTTTCTCAACAGTCTGTCAATTAAATCAGTAAAATGTTTTTTTTTTGTTTGTGTGTGTGTGTTGGGTAAGCTACAATAACCAAAATTAGACTCATTTGCAAAATGCCAGAACAATGTTTTACACTTCCTTCAAATTCAGAAGTTTACTATTTGGAAGAATTACCTCTTAAACTGTATGAACTTTCTATGAGTTTCCCAGAAATTTGGCTCATTTCTCCAGAAAGGGCAGAAACTGAGTCACTTTTTTAGGTCACTGCCCTCAGAATGAACCTTCAGCTCTGCCAGTGAATTTTCTATGGATCTGAGATCAGAACCCACCCCACCCCAAAACATTACATTACTAACACGATTATGCCGTGAAACCATGTGCAGACACCCCAAGATTTATTCAACTCATGGCAAAATTCTATGCAGTTCCAGTTAAAGGCAACTTGACTTACTTTTTTTAACATAAAATCATGTAATGATTACTTGAACATTTGGGGGAACCCCTTGTACCTTTGAGAGAGGCCATCTATAATTAGTTCCTACACATGTGTAGTATATTGATAATTTGGTACCCTTAGTAGATATTTTTAAAAAACTCCAAAAAATGTTTTCGGGGGCTGTATAGTAATGTAGACATAATTGAAACATTTCTTTATTAGTGAAATGTGGAATTGTTTTTTTTTTATCTCTGTGTGATTAAATAAAGATTGGTTCTCATCCAATCATTTTGTCTCACTTCTACATATTTTAAGTAGTTGTGTATATACAGTTGAGGGTTGCTTCTAATTATGCGTATATTGGAACTAGTAATAGATTTCTACTTAAAGGTTCTAATTTACACTGATCAGATTAAAGCATACTTTGAACAAACACTTTTAAAATGTGTACATTTTCAAATTAATTTTGACAATGCTAATAGAGTCATTGGGAATTTTGCTGAGTTTTCTCACTCTGGCATTTTTCTCTTCAACTAATGCAATGTGCTGAAATTAGTGGCCTTTTGCTTTCCAGGATAACATGTTGGGGTAAAACTGTTTTTTTTTTATATGAAATACATATATTTTAAAGCTTTTTACACATTTTTATCATCATTATCAAGTATTTTATATGAAAGAAATCATTAAAAACATTTCATCATCATAAATGTGTGCTCACTGCGCACCTCCAGGTTTTGGCATCCTTGATGATTCTTGTTGATTAGTTGATTTATTGCGATTGTGGTTCTTTTTCTTTCCGCCAGCAGCTCTCACAGAGCGAAGCAGTACTCCACTGGCCTTAAAGAAAGCAACGACAAATGGCTGTTTGGATTGAGGCCCATTCCTCCCAATGATTCCAGCAGATTTTATGTTGATGCTCCTTCCTTTACAAAAAACAAAATGAAAAACATTTAAAATAAATGGGATACTTCGATTTACGTCTATTTCTCAGCAATCTAATGATACTTTCTTTGGTTATATTTTTGTTCAATATAAAATGTTGACATGTAGAATAAATCAAAAGATGAAACTCAAGATTTTTCTGCAGCCCAAAGCAAATCTGTGGATCATGTATGTTTTTGTAGACTGATCCCAAAAATGTTGTGAAAAGCAAAATTAGCTTTGCTTACCGTCCATCATTTCCACACAGAGCTGAAGACCAAAATTTTGCTGTGGGTTTATCACCCAATGGTTACTGGTGGCTGTTATATCAAACACAAGCCAGCCCCCGTTACATGCCTGCACCTTCTTGGAGTCGAGCAAAAATGTCTCTGCATCTCTGTAAGTACAAAAGAGCAAGAGAAGCATATTTTTTAATAATAACAATAAAAAAGTGCTTAGAGATTGTGTTTTTTAAACATGTCTTTTCAGAGGCCTGCCAGTGAGAACAACCTAGACTAAAACACATGCAGCCATTGTTGAAAAGTTGCATGCTGTGACAAATTGCACTTATAAGGTCAGATCTGTGCCAGTACTTAAGCCATTTGATGAACATAACATTTTTAGGGCAATGAATCATGCACTTCAGCTTTTGTGTATTTTACCATGAGTTTAGCAGAAGGCAACAATCAGCCATTCTCTTTGAAAAATTATAATTAAGCAAAACTTCTGCAGTTTTTGTTCGATTCCTTTCAAGTGGCAGATCGGATAAGGCAGCAGCTGTTAGTTTTTTGTGGTTTCACAGAGTTGGTTGGAGACAGAGGTTCTCCATGTGGTCTCAATTGTTTTGGAACTAGTCATATGTTTTTCAAAGGTGAAATAAAACTCTAGATTAATTCTTTTGAGGGACCAAGTGTTGAACTTGCTACGGAGCCCTCCAGGGGACGTGGGAATTTTTGTTTTCTTTTGCGTCCCCTTGCAAAAGGTTTTACGTTCCCTCACAATAATCTACTGATCAGTTATGCAGCTTAATTGAATACTGTAAGCCCTTCTTACGGTGGCCGCCATCCTTTCTGCCTTAATACAAGGTTATGTGAGGTTTTCACATGTACCTTTATATCTCCTTATGAAATATTTGACATTTTACATCTTTTTCTTTGGGATAGAAAGGCACCACAAACCTATAAAATAAACAGAAACTTTCCATAAGTAGAAAAGAAATAAAAATACGTCCAAACTATTTGGACCATTTCCGAGTTATTATCGTGGGTATTAAGTCATCTGACAGTTTTGACTGCGTCTCTGTTATGTTTGAAGTCTGAGTGGTTTAAAGGGCTGCTTTCAGTGCTGTTCCATCTTAGCCTTAACAGACAAACATGCAGTAAATAAATCGATTTTCAATCAGTGTTTTGCACCAAATACTCAAAAATAATAAACACATTTTCACTGAGGCTCTGTAAGAGCCATATGAATGAAATAAGTAATAATTGACACGACAGGAGCATGCGGTTTTGACACGGATGGTGGGCATGTCGATGTGGGCGTGACCGTCATCAAGTATGACTAAGTAGGTTACTGGAGAAATGGGGGAAAATAAATTGCCATGTTCCCTGGAGGGCTCCGTAACTTACTCTTTAAAGGGCAAAAAAATAAAATAAAAATAATAAAAATCAAGCTTCTTTTGTTTTGCGATTTGAACTGTTAGAGTGAACATTTACTGATCAAATGACCATATTTCTGAGGAAATTTTTTTTCTTATTCCTGACTGAATAGTCATCAGCACTTATCAAATAGGAAAAATTTGGTGGAAACAAATATAACCCCAGCTCTCGCCTGTAGATGGGCACCAGCACCCGTCCCAACCCTACAGGGGTGTTAGAAAATGGACGGATGGATGGATGGATGGATTGAAACAAACATGTAATGACACTTAACGTTGCCAAAAATACTTCCTCATGTACTAAACTGAACTCTTAATTTGGTTTTGTTTGTCATCAATTGAGTTCAGAAGCAAAATTCAAAGATTTGTGGAAATTGTTTGATCCGCAAAGATGAGTGACCTTAGTTATTTTGATTTGTCAGATTACAAAGGTGTTGTCGCTGTAAATGTAGGCTCCTTTATGTATTTTGTCCGAATTTTTTATGAGGCTAGTGGCTTGGGTAATTCAGCAAGACTGTGATGTCAGTGAGTGTATAAGTTTTCAAATAAACAATATTGGAGATACACTATACAGCATCTTGAGGACACTTTTCATTCTCTGTAGTTTGCATATATCTTTTAACCAAAGACTGATATTACGAGAGATGATTCCCATTTTTAAAAACTGACATTATTTCTATGCTTAATGATTGTATATAAAATACTTATTCAATCCTTCCCACCATGAACGGTTATTAATTATGTATTTGGGAGCAAAGGTAACTCCACACCACATGTGCAGATAAGCTACAAATATCGTAGAAAATAGCAATTTATTTTGTGGTTGTTTGCTATAATTACATTCTTCTTGTTTTCACATTAATTTAAATACCTCACTGATGTTGTAAGAAGTAAACCTCTCTTTGCACAGCAACATCAATTCTTGCATTATTAGAATTTAATCTTATGAACTAATGCACTCTGGAAACAAGTTTAAAGAAAAATTCAGCTTCACAATTGTTCAGCTTAGAAGCATGTTTGCTCAGTGCCATTGTAGGTTATCATTCTAGTGGTGACTGAAACTTTTATTTACTTGAATGAAAGATATTAGATTAAATGAACATTAGCTTCACAATGAAATGAAGAGAAATGACGTTATACAAATTGTTGAGTTGTAAGCACCAATAAAGTCTCACTCCTGCTTGGGAACACTAATCAAGATTTCTTGTTGAAAACATGTGTAAAAACATGAACTGAACCCCCTTCACCTTTAAGATGGCAGAGTCCATTGACTGAGACCTTTTCAACTCCCTGGAGGGCCGTATCTCCCCTTCAATCACTCACACACGTTTTTGGAAAGCAAATGTGGGGCCACTGTTAAGCACACCCCTGTGTATTTAGCAATGCCATACTTTAAACTTCCGGAATATTTTTAAGACAGGCAGGTGGTGGGCAAAACACTGACCATGGGCTGACCCATGAGAACTCCCCTGACCTCCAAGTGTGGTCCTTAATGCTTTGATTTGGGACACAGCCAGCTTGGTAAGCAACACAAGATGAGTGACAAGTGACAAACTTTCCAATCTACACATAAGTGCTCGACTTGCTAATGGGGTTCACTTTATCCACAAACTATATTTATAAAAGCAGACAGTGCCTGTGAAGGAGACCAGAGTTTCTGATAAAAGGATGCTTGTTGGTGGAAAGGACACCAGCTGAAGAATTATCTGCCTCTTTTAAATGTGAAATAATACATAACTTTTTAAATGTATGTTGTACCAGAAATGGGTAAGTGCTGCATTAAACCCTTTAGTCTAATACAAGAAATAAGAGTTTTGAAATTAATTTCCATTTTATTTCAGATATTTTAACAACAAATACAAAAAATCATATTTTGTGTATCATAACTGACATAAGGTATTGTCAGTCCTGTGCAACCATGTCTTTGCAACTAAAAATAATAGATACAGCTGAAATTAAATATTAAACTGCACACACACAAACAAATACTTCAATCGATTAAGATTACTTAAATGATTTCTACTTGCTAAATGCCAATAAACACATATCAGGCAAGATGAAGAGAAGAGAAGAGTAGATCTGCACAAGTCTGGATCCTCCTCAGGTACAATTTCCAGACAGAAGTAGGTTTCACATTCATAAAATAAGCAGTTATTTCAAACTATAGACACCATGATAATATTCAGCCATAATAACGTTGCAGACGAAGTTGGTTTATGTCCCAAATATTACCTTGTTTATGCAAGTAAAGTGCATATTTTAAGGTCTTTGGGCCCAAGTAAAACCCAAAGACCTTGTGAAGATGCTGAATTAAGATGATCAGATGGTAGGTTGTAAATCTTACTTGCTGAGGGGCTGTAAAACCACTCAGAGACATGATGAATATGAAGTGGCTTGTACATGTATGGTACTTTATGTAATCCAGAGGACTTCAGAGCGCTTTATACTACATTCAGTCATTTACACATTCATTCACAGATTCTCACGCTGATGGTGGGAAGCTACACTGCAGCCACAGCTGCCATGGGGCAGTTTGCCCACCATCAATGACAATGCAAGTGTTTAGCCTGGACAAAAGACAGAGATAGGAATAAAGGGGGTTCAGACTAGCAACCCACTGGTCATAGGGAGAACTCCTACCATCATCTCTACTCTGCAATCTATCTACCCAAAACAAAATCCAAAGTCCTTGTGAAGACGCTAGTTTATGGTGGTAAGAAAGTGTTATTATCCATGGTGTTACAAGTCCTGTTCAGCACTGGGCTGAAAAGTCATGCAGAGACAAAGGAGCCATTTCTCCAAAAACATAACAAAAATACAGATAATAGGTTGCAAATCTACTAAAGTCCACCATGAGAATAATCAATAAAGCAGCAGAAAACAAAAGCTTTTATGAGTTTCTATTTGATAGTGGCATTAGTGTGTGGGTTTTAGCTGATTTAAACTTACTTGTTATTATATTCTTTGATAACTTGATATATGGAAACCTTCAGGGTGATATTGCTGTAGCGAGCGTGACTGCGGTCCTTATAGATCCTGAATTCAGCAGCGGTCACCGCCTCTCCATCTGGGATCTGAGTCAGGTCAAAACGGAACTCCTTGTAGTGTCTTCTTTGGTGAGAAAAATCTTTATCTTTCTCCACTGGGAAAAGAAAAAAAATTTTACGATGAACTTCTGTATTACTGCCAAGTAAATCTCAACAGAAAATATGAGTTCACCTCCTGAACTGCGTCTTGTGTTGCATGACAGAGAAAGCCAGCATGAATTGCAGAGGAGGGGAAAAAAAAAAGAATATTTATCACATCTTCTTTTACATTCAAGATCCAACCCAAACATTTTGAGTACCAACAAAAGCACTTTCCAGTTCATTAAATCAGTCAACTGAATACAGGTAGCAGTTCCCAGACAGGCCCTCTACTGTGTGCCATACTGCATTCTCCAGCCATGATGAATGGGCTGTCAGTTAAGAAAAACAGGCTGATTTCAATTAAAGACACTTTCCGCTGCTGCCAAGCAGAAAGAAAAGAACAGGCAGGACTCTTCAGAGCCCATGTGAGTGTCTGCTCTGACCTCATTTCTGACCTGCAACTCACCTCTACTAAAAATTCCCCAAGGAGTCGTTTGTGATTCGGAAATAAAATGAAATGGCCCTTGTTGAGAAGAATTTTGAATTATTTTGACTAACACAATAAAATCTGAGCAACAGCATGAAAGATAACAAGTAAGAAGAGAGAGTGACCTCAACTGTCTCACATCCAAAACTAGCGCAGCAAGGAGGGATGCAGCTGAGGTCAGCGGACGTCCTGAGATTGGTGGTGATATCATGTGGGGTGTTTTCCTGATATTTTATCAAGAGAGAGCACCTGTGGTTACTTAGCACAACCAAGTCAAAGGTCAGGCTTGACTTTAAACCACTGAGTGACTTCTATTAAATTAGCCATAGGCTGTAATCTGAAGCAGAAGTGCCACTGAGAGGAAAGAGCTTTTAACTTTGAATGTCAAAAGCTTCAATGAGTTCTCTCCATGTTAAGACTAACTTGCATGAGAACTGCTGACTAATTAAAGTCACCAGAACAATCTTCAAACCTCTTTGAGAATGTTATTCAAATATATTAATATAGTTAGGCATGTTCTTGTTAATAGTCTCAAGGTATTCCAATTATTTAAAATGTTACAATTGATACAGTTTAAATTTTTTAAATGTGCTCTGATTTGATTGGGCTATATTGCACATAATTCAATGCAGTGCTGTCCTTCTGTTGCTGTGCACTGCTAATAAGCTAGCTGGTTACCACTGCACTTTCCCTTACTTACAAGAAAGACACATTTGACTTAGGGGAGCTATTTCCTGTCTATAAAAACTTGGGTAAGAGATAGGCACCAGCAACCCTCCTGAGCCCACTAAGGACAAGGGTGTAAGAAAATGGATGGATGGATGGATGGAAAAAATGAGGGAGTCATTGTTTGAAAATCACAGAGTGATTCTAAGGTTAGACTTGCCTTAGAAATGTTTGCAAACTATAGTTAAACTTAAAGCAGCATATCTGTTCAGCTGTTGACTGCAGGCCAACTATTGCAGCAGATAACCTGATATCAGCTTTATTACACTAATATGCAAAGAATGGAACAATAAGCATTTATTTACTATTATTAAATTTCATATGTATAGTAGATATTTTTTTTTTACTTGGGTTTATTTAATAAAAATGAAAATAAATATTATATGTAGTCATAATAACCAGTATTTTAAATAATTTTAGCATGAGTTGTTTTTCAATATTAAATGAAAGTAATTAGATCCCTGTGTACTTTTTTTGTTAATACAATCATTGAGAATTGCATACCGACTCATGGCTCATTACAATATTAGTTGCATGAAAAGGCAACCTAAACGTTTTTTTTTTTTACACAGTTGAGGACCGCCACTGTCTTTAGCTTACTGTAATAAAGACAAGAGCTTCTTTGAGAACTTTACTGAAAATCTCCCAGAATGAGAGCAGAACTCGAGGCTGACAGCGTACATGCCCGGGTAGAGCGGTAAGTGGAAACAGATGGCCTCAGACCAAGGTGAGGAATTATTGTTTCAGGCAATGCTGCACACGTTCACTTTCTTTTTTTTCTTCTTTTTTTGACATTTTTCTCTCTGTTTCATGTAAAATATAATTTTCTACCTTGAGATGCCAGCACTATGTTACATGGTAAGAAGTTTATATTTCCAGGGATTTTTAAAAATAGTATATTTATGTTATGACTTTCTGAGTAATTCACCATGTGCTTGAATTATCCTTACAGGGCAACAAACAAATTTGCCAAATGTTGTGGAACTCTAACAATGCAAGAACCTCACAAGCAGGCATCCATCAATATCACCCTCCTCTCTCTCTTTTAACAACAGGAAATAATTGAGATCAATTTTCTCAAGGTCAGACAGTCATCTGATAAGCTGCTCTGAACCACTGGGTTCAAAGTTGCAGCTACTGAACAAATACAATCATTATACAAATCAACTGCTGTTTTCATTGAAAGGTGCACAAATGAAACTGGAATGTTAGAATGCATGTCAAATTAAAAAAAAGAAAAAGAAAATAAAATCAACCACTAAGTCTTAAATTTCAATGGTGTTTGAATTTTACATTAAAATGAATAAGATTAAATTTTATTAGTGATTTATGTGACCTGTTTTCAATTAAGCCGTTTATACAGCAGCTCATACTGGCAGACACGCAGCGGGATTTCCAACAAAAACATATATACCACAATTTTTCGTGCGTATTAATAAATGTGGATAGGAGGATTTTCTTGGAATAATTAATATTATTCAAGAGCGTATCAAAATAAAAAAAAAAGATTTAAAAAATTAAAATTGAAGCTAAAGACAAACTGCGTCTCTTATTTGAGCATGGTTGGAAGTTTCCTAATTTTTGATAGTTATTGTTAACCTTTTAAATGTATTCATCATTGCCCGGGCCAGTCAGACACTCACCTAAATTGACAAAGCTCATAACCATGTCAGCATCATTGAGGAAATTGGTGTCGTGCGCCGTGGTTAGTGAAGGACTGTGCCCCAGCAGAGGGGCCGCTCTGTAGGGCTGCGGCACACGGGAGTAGCCGGCGTGCTGCGGGTTGTAGTAACTTTTCTTGGAGTGCCCTTGAGCTTTGGCACTGAAGCTCTTCCCTACGCTCCGGTTTAACACCGCCACCCCTTCCTCCTCCTCAACGGCCATGGCGTTGTACAAGTCGAGCATGAAGAGCGGTGCGGAGGACGACTGTTTCCCGGGAGAGAAGGGCCTCGGACGGTGAGGCAAACCCAGGATGGAAAGGATCTCTCTCTGGATCTCCCTGCGCTCGTGATTGCGCAACCTCCTGTAAATAAAGCTGGAGTGCACATGGTTGTCAGTGAGAGCGCATTGAGCGCAGGAAAGAAAACTGCTCCAAGCAAGTGCGAAAAGTGCGCGGCTCAGAGGAGTACAAAGCGCTGTCATCCTGGCAAACTGCTCTCTTAGAGATGAGAGGATGAACTACATGGCAATCTCTGAGGGAAAAAGAAAAAAAAACAAGAAAAAAAAACTTCTCTAAAAGTCTACAAATACGGATTCATAAGCTTTCCATAAAAATAGAGGAGCCACAAGTTTCACGGTATAGACAGGGGTCTGTTTGGGTACAAAGTCTGCAGGAAAAATCGGTACTCCTGTCTGTCCTGTGTGAGAACTTTGTCTGGCAGTAGGCCCGTTTACTCCTCCAAGGTCTATCCAGAGTCTCCGAGTATTTATGAAGCGGTGACCCCGTCCCTCACCTTACTCCTCTAACATGAAAAAAAAGGAAAACAAAAAAAAAGGTAGGTTGGTACGCCCAGGACGTCGAGGGATTTATTCGTTTCCAAGTGGATGAAATGTGGTGAACTGTGTCAAAAATAAAAACAGAGGAACACTCCACTCATGCCCCGGCTCGTATATAATATATGTATTTATTTCAGGAGAATGTGCACTAACTGGGGCTACAGTTGTCCTTTGGGTCCATCCCACACTCTGTTCTTGTTGTCGCATCCTCCTCTAGCGGCCGCAGTAAAACTTCAGCCAGGGTCCCATGATGAATGTGGCGGCTTCGGAGTGTAAATGGAGACACTTGAAATCCGAGAGCTCAGTCCTAACGAGTGAAAGAGTAATGACAGAGCCTTTTAATCACCTCAGCTTATTGAAGTCATGGTGTTTATAGGTTAGCGCTCCAGCTGCATTTAATGCTTTTGATCCTACTGTAAGTACTTTAAACGTTGAGAAAGTCAAATTAAGTGTTTTGTAGTTGTACACCAATGACACAAAGCGTAATAATAGAGTTCATTAATTTGGCAAACTAGAGCATCTACCACCGATCTAACGGTTGCACTGAAATTTAAATGTTAACTGCAATGAAATGTAGGCTATTTGCAACAAAAAGCATGTAGCAAATGCATTCTGGTTGGCTTAATTAAACAAGAAGTCACAATGAAAATCATAAAGCCATATTAGAAGGAGACACAAATCAAACTTTCACATGGAAAAAACGTTTAATTTCATTCCTCGACTGAGTTGTTACCCTGCACTGACATCTAGTGGAAGCTAAAATGCCGTCATTAGGTCTGCAGTCTCCACTATAGTTCAGCTGCCTAACAAAAGTATTCATACCCCTTACAAAGTACTCACACCCATTCCCCCACATTAGAAAAAGTGATCTTGTTTGAAACATCAACACAAGTTACAGAAAACTGTGAAGCAGGGGAAAACCATATCCCATTTTTAATTTATTATACAACTGAAAATAAATTAAATTATTATCCATGTGCATTCATTCTCCTTTAACCTGAAACCCATAAAATAAATCCTGTTTACCATTAATCTGGTCTTTATGGAAGAGTGCCAAAAAGAATGTAACTGGTTAAAAAAAAAACATGACTTGCTACTTCTTAGAGAACATGCATGGTCCCTCTTACCTTAATTTGTTCCGTGAACACCTGAAATTTCTCACTATTGGATAGAAAACACTATTCCATATCTGAGGTCTTAAAATCCAGGCCTTCAGTAAGTCCTGTGGCCACGAGGTCCTAAACCTGCAGCCAAGTTCTCCAGACTCTTGCTAATGATCTCATAATTTGACTCAGGTGTGTTGAAGCAGATACGCGTCTATAAGTTGCAGGGCATCACCTATTAAGGCCTGGATGTGAAAACTTTTATTCTATACTATTCCATTTTCTGTTTGCACAAATTATGTAGGGCAAAGGAAAACATCCTAAAGACCCCACTTATAACGGTTAGTGTGTGGCTGAACACAGACTAAACGAACACATACTGTGGTCAGACTTTGTGGTTTATGGAAAAATGGATGGAACTTAATGCAAAAAATATATATTCATTGTTGCAGAGCCATAGCATAGAATTAGCTGAACTCTAAGTTTCTACATGTGCAAAGTTGATAGACACTTAAAATACCTGCAGCTATAACTGAAGCAAAAAGTAATAGTATCCTTTCTTTTTGACTTGATGGAAAAGAATCAAAAACCTTGCATCATTTTACTTGCATGTCACTATCATGCATCTTTTTGTGTTGGTTCATATGATCCTAATCACATGTTTAAAGTTTTTGGTTGTAAGACACCATAGTCAACAACTCCAAATGCACCTTTGGCAGTTGAGTTCATCCAGTTTTCTGACTTAAGGGTTTTAAGCGGAAATATTAGATGGCAAGCATTTTTTGTAAGCTTTTTTGCCAGTAAAACGTCATCTTTTTATGATTTGAGATTCACACATATGTGTATATGGGTGGATGTGTAAGACAAATTAATTTCCCAAATTGTTCAAAAATTTTAATTCTATTTTTTTGAACATTGACAAAAACGTACAAAAATCACAAAATATCTACATTGCAAATGTGTTAAAGATGCATCACTGCTGCAATGCACAGATATGACTCTTATAAATAACAATACAATACCTAATACAGAAATTAAAACTGAAACTGGGGAGAGTAAATTAAGTAAAATGTCAAAACTGTCACTTTTTTTTTCTAATTTTCCATCCTAGATAAAATGAGGTGACATCTTAAAGACTTCTGTGAGGAACAGTCTAATTTTATCTCAGAAAATACACAATGTAGCTGCTTGAAAAGCTTAAGAAATGCTCACAGGAGATGATAATCAGTAAGACCAAATCAAAACATGCCAGATTAACAACAAAACATGTAATTTATATAACAGTTTTATTTAGTTTCAAACTTTAAATAACACCCACTGACAGTGTCGTGAAGTTGGTAGAGAGCGTCATGCACTGAAGCAACACCAGAGGGCACTAAAGGGAAGTGTACCAGCCACAATGACATACAAGTTTTCAAGGTGCTCAGATGGAGGTATTCAAATGAGCCAATTTTCAGTTCTCCTAGCACCCTGAAAACCTCAAGAATAATGTTAAAAGACAAAGAATAAAATATTATTCATTATATTCAATACACATATTAAAAAAATATACAATGGTGAATGAGAACACAAAAAAGTTGAAGAGGTACTTTTAGTTTTTATGATAGAGAGGAACTGTAGAGATTAAATTTTCCTGAGAATGGCTGCTTGTTCCATATCAGCTTTAGATTTGAGACATTAGTGACACTGCACTCCATCAATAGTTTGGGCCTTTGCTGAAGGAACTCCTTCTCATTATGCTAGGGTAGCACAGGGATGGGTCACATACTCCGGGATGGCCAGGAACACCGGGATTACCTGGTTTACCCTCTGCTCCATTTTGACCAGGAAATCCATGCTTACCAGGAGGACCTGGTTTGCTGTACCCCTGGGGACCAACAGGCCCTGTCAAGATAAAAACACTGAGCCATAACAGTTGCAATAGGAGACTGATGAACACAGACATCAGGGCAACAATGCTAGTCAGAACCAACGCAGAAATTGCACCATAAATTCAATCCCTCCAGAACTTAAGTGATTTAATTTATAATTGTTGTCACAAGCATTCCTTGGCTGCCTCGCTTTTGTTTCCTTTTTCTTTTCACACTTCTTTTCATATTTCTTAATTTGGAGCAAGGGAAAGAATAAACATCTAAGAAAGAACTTAAAACTGGAAAAGAATTGCAAGTATTTGTTTTTCATTCTGCTGGATTTAAATCAGGTTATACGTTCAGCTTCAAATGCTAACAGAAGAAGCAGGTGTAAACCACAAAAACAGAAAGAGAATTTTATTGAAAATGACATTTAAACTCAAGCAGGCTGTTGAACAGCTGATCAAAAGTTCAGCACCCAAAAAACATAGCTAAAAATATAAAAAACAAACTCAGCAGTGAGTGGCACCATGACTCTTGCTGATCACTTCAAGAATATGCTCAGACATGCTTGATGTAAGTGTTTCCAGTTGGCTAACTGTAATATTGATCCATGTGGTGAAGATAGCTTAGTGAAGGGCATCTGTGGATTAGAACTGCCTTCCATTTTTGCGCACTACCCCAAACACTTTCAATAGAACTTGTTTTAACAATGCCTTCTTTGTGTTTTGTTTATTTCTTCTTTTTTTTTTAACATTTCAAAAATGTACTTAAAATCTGGACATGATCACCTCAAGAAATGTGAATCTTTGTGGTCTCTTACAGGTCTTTGTTTAAATGTGGATATCTGTCTCAAACAACAACCCGATGTCCACAATTCAGGAAAAGTTGTAAGACTAAACATATACAAGTAAACATACAAATTTAAAGTGTTGAAACCTGAAAATATTTCCAAGATGTTCTGTCAATAATGTTTTACTGAATGAAAAGCAACATTTTCTTACCTGGTGGCCCAGGAGGTCCCTGATCCCCGACCATAACTTGACCAGGACTCCCTTTCTCACCTTTGTGACCCGGTTCTCCTACAAACACCATTCTACGTTTAGAACAAATGTATATTATAACTTTTGTACAGCACATATGATTGTACTTTTACCTTTCAGCCCAATAACCCCTGGACGCCCTGGACGACCAGGTTGTCCTCTGGAACCACTAAGTCCAGGAAAACCTGTGAGTCCTTGGGGACCAGCTGGACCTTGTGCACCAGGTGACCCCGGCTGGCCTTGACATCTTGTACAGCTACTCTGCTGGTTGCTTAGCAGTAATAAAGGCAGCTCACCTTGAATCAGAGACAAAAAAGAGATTTCACATGGTGCAGTTGTGTAGAAACAGCTCATTGATTAGATTGTAAGGCAACTCACTTCTCAGAATGTCTCTGCAGATTTGTCGAATGTGACTGTCTGACATTTCACTCGTCTGTAGTTGATCAATATGATGTGTTGGTCATCACTGCATGTCATAACGACCGAAAAAACATTCTGTTTTCAGAAAGTGTCAAACTTACAGATCTGCCTTCGGGTCCTGGTGGCCCAGGGGGGCCTGTGTCCCCTCGCGTCCCTTGGGGTCCAGTTGGCCCTGACTGACCTGGTTGTCCAGGCCGTCCCATTTGACCTTCTGGCCCCCTCTGCCCTGGATCCCCTGCTGTCCCTTTCTGGCAAGAATACCACCCTCTTGTTAGAAAAGCATGCATTTACACAGGTTGTGCTGACGTAATTATCACATTTTTCTTCATCTCAACATACCTCCCCCTTGAATCCCACTGGTCCAGGTGATCCCTGGTAATCAGAATAAGTCACCAAAGACATTAAAAGTCAATCTACTTCAAAATGCACAGCAACTGATATTATCCTTATTATAGGACCGAGTCACAATAATAAAATCATTCATACAGTGGGATCATGTTGAAAGGAATTTTTCTGATGAATCAGATGCACTGATGCTAAAGAAATATTTTTTATAGCATCAGTGAATAATGTAAATCAGCTATGATATTGACTGTTGAACTCAGATATCTGCATACACTACATAGGCAGATGCAAAATAATTTTTTCTTCCTGTCTGACATTAAATAATATAAAAACTTTTTGGTTTTCCATCAGTTTGAAAAGTTCTTCTAATTGCCAGTTTAGAGAATAATCAGAATTTTTTTT